GGGCGACCTGTTCCAGTGTCTCACCACCCTCAAAGTAAGGAATTTCTTCCTTACATCTAACCTAAACCTATCCTTTTTCAGTTTAAAACCATTATGCTTTGTACTGTCACTACAGACCTTGGAAAAAAAGTCTTTCTCCATCTTTCTTATAAGCCCTATTTAGGCATTGAAAGGCCGCAATAAGGTCTCTCCCTTCTCTTCTCCAGGCTGAACAACCCCAACTCTCTCAGCCTGTCTTCACAGGAGAGGTGTTCCAGCCCCCTGGTCATTTTTGGCCCTCCTCTGGACCCGCTCCAACAGGTCCATGTCCTTCCTGTATGGGGGACCCCAGAGCTGGACGCAGTACTCCAGGTGGGGTCTCACCAGAGCGGAGTAGAGGGGCAGAATCTCCTCCCTTGATCTGCTGGCCACACTTCTTTTGATGCAGCTCAGGTTATGGTCGACTTTCTGGGCTGCAAGCGCACGTTGCTGGCTCATGTCCAGGTTTTCATCCACCAGTACCCCCAGGTTTTCCTCTAGCCCTTTCTCTGCATTCCTTTTGCTCTCGTCCATCAGCTTTCTGCCAGTTCTGCATCCTGCAGCCAAACACTGTTTGCAGGCCAAACAAACTATGTCCGCCTCTCTTCAGTTCAACGACACCTCTCATGTCAACACAAAAAAAAAGGGAATTCACAAGGAACATCTTCAATAATTAAAAGCTCAGCTTGTCTGTGGGTTTCCTTTCAACAAAGCCACCGCAACTCTAGGAAATCGCAGCTAAGACTGTAAGAATAGCCAGATCAGTCTCCCACCACTTACCTTACAATCCAAGAACTGCCTGCACCTGACACAATCCCTTTCTCCTTAAATCCATAGCAAATATATTCGGAGTGCATCCGATATTGGTTGCAACAGTTAACCCAGTGGAGAGGCAAGATGCTTGCTGCTCCCATTTTTCCCATGTACCACAGCAAAATAAATATTTACTCCACCAGTCACTACAAAATACACAGTTCCACACACTAATAAAATCAAATAGAAATCAGCCAAAATTACTAATCTTGCTTAGCAAGCCTGTGTTTTAGCGAGGAAGTGGATAGGTTGGCTTTGGTGGTGTCTCAGGAACTCAGGTAGCTACTGCTCAGGGCACGATGGAACGAAGGACATTTGTGTAGCCTTAACTCTTATTTTCCGCTTCAAAGTTTTCTACCATGTCCTCTACCAACAATGCAGAAGCTTACAAGGAATTGCCTTTTACAGCTACCATCAAGTAATGAGGCTTTTCTCTCTTGATTTGACATTACATCTGTAACTTGGTCTTACTGGAGTTATTTACATCGAAGGCTCTCTTCGAAGTTTCTCTATCCTCGACGTGCGTGCCTGCAGTGGGACAGAGAAGTAACTACACTTTGAAGAACTTGCTATAAACTAGTGCATGGGGTTAGATGAGGTTCAGGATTCCTGCAGTGATTATAAACTTAGCAGGAGTTCTTACAACAGCTCCAATCTCGACAGGGTTACTGTCTTGTTAATCAACCTCCTTCAGGACTGGAAGCGGTTCTGCGTCTCAGTTCTTGGGGGCTTTCTTTGGAAGCTGCAGTTTCGTGCAGAATGATCTGTCAATTTACAAAGTCTACAGAGCTCTGATACATTTGGTAAAACAACATCAAAAAAGGCTAGACTTAAGCCGTGGCACCCTGCGTTGCACCAGGCAGCACAAAGACTACAAATTCTTGTCAGTTAGTGCAAAATAAGATTTGGTGATTTTAAAGCTATGCCTCAACTGATTTTGCAGCCCAGGGCCAGATGTTAGCTCTGGCCAAGTCCTGAAACCAGAGGGTGACAAGATCTGTCCACAAACCAGCACTTGCGTCCTCTCACCTGCTGGGGGAAGGAAACACAGGGAAGCAGACGGAGCAGACTTGGGGTACGCTTTCTACTGCCCTTGGTCTGGACTGAGGAAAGATGGACATGCTGTGGAAGTAGCTATCCCTTGGAAGAGCCACAGCCTGACGTGTGCAGGGAGCACACTGTCTAGAAAGAGAGGATGTCTTCTGCTTTGTGTTGTGCAAGAGACAGCTAAAATAGGGTGCAATGTTCCTTAAAAAGATAAATTTTAAGCATCTTCTTCTCTTTGCTGATGCTCTGTACAGTAGAGTGGCCCTTCCTACAATAAACACATTTCAGCGTGCCAGCAAAGAACCATCTTTTCTGAGGGGAACACAAGGATTGCAGCTCCTGTGGCTTTTCAGTCTGTCTCTGGGCACCCATACAGGAACTGCATATATTCTGTCCGAAAAGGAGCTAAACTTTGGCTTTACTATGTGAATAGCACCTCCAACAAAAAAATGGAAATGGCATTCCTTACAAATAGTCTGTTTCAGAAAACCAAAAATCTGTGTTGAAACTGAATGGATCTGTTCAGCACAAAAAGAGGGCACGGAGAGGGCTGGAAAAGTCTGGATGCCAGTAATTTACAAAGTGAGTAGCAATGGCACATTATTACTGTTGCTGCTTTCACTAATTATCAGTAACAGCAACCACTGCTGATACGGATTTGTATTGTGAGAGTACCTAAGAACTGCTTTTGTACTATACAGCAGTTCCCTGATGCAGAAAGCTCACTTTTCAGGACAAAAGAGAGCAGATGGATACATCTGGCCTGACGGGGCACTACAAGGGATAAGTGGGATAACAATGTTCAAGCATGAGAAACAGTGGTATAGCCCTGACCTCACCACTGTTTTTCCACAGTCCTTGTGAAAAAGGGGGATCTTAAGAGAGGATCTGAAGGTAGGTGTGGAGCTAATTGGGAAAGTGTTCAAGGCTGTTCCAAGATCTGACGGGAAGCATGGGAGAAATTAATTGATGTAAAACTTAGCAACAGGGTGACAGAGGCTGGCATCACCAGGCAAGCTAAAGTGGGAGCTAATATGTTAGCACGAGCTGGTAGACTTGAGGCCTTAAAATCAGAGACAAATAGCTGTACTGGATGTGATAGAGGAGGAGATGACTGTGGTGAGGTGTAAAGACAAATGTCTTTGGGCAAGATGTCAAGCTAGGAAAATGATCTGCGCAGCAGCGTGAATGGAGGTGGGTAACACTGCATTTGTCAAAACCAAGGAAAGGATGCTGCAGCAATCAAGGTATGTAATGAGAATTTGGACCTGAGACTTATACCTTTGTGAATAAAGAGCTTCAGCTAGAAATGCTATAGAGTAACAGTCTGCAAGATTTACGCGTAGTCTTAGACACACAGACACAAGGGAAGTTCAGAATAGAAAGTGACACCCAGGTCGCAGACCTGGAGAATGGACAGATTGGAGGGGTTACACATGATGACTGAGTATTCATGTGAGGACAAGAGCTAGGGGATGAAAACGGTGCACTCTCTATTTTAGCCATGCTAAGCCTCAGCAGATAGCGTGATACTGATGCGAAGTGTGGCTTTTGGGCTGTGGGTTGTTCTATTCTGTTTTTAAGCAAAGTGAAAGAATTTGTGAATAAATCCTCACAAACAAAAGGGTCCTAACCATCCAAGGACGTCCTGAATGCTTCATCATGAAGCTTCGCGAAAGTATTTCTTGAGGAACGTTCCCAAGAGAAAAAAAAGAGAGAGCAGCAGCTGTGTTCACTGGTTTGGAGATGCACCTTACCATCCCTAGTCATACAGTGCATTTTTCTTCTCAGTTGGGGTCTCTTACATATCCATGTTCCTCTGCGTGGAAGGAACCATGTCTCTTCTACATTTTTTGGCTAATTGCACAAGCCAAATTGCACAACCTAAGAAGAAAGACTAGCTTTTTTGACTGTTCATTTTAAAAGCCTTGCATAAAAAAGGGGCGAATGAGCCTCAATCACATCATATACTTAGTGCATCGTGAAAAATGTAAAAAGCTCTCATGAATTATACTATCTGCTATTAATTTGTAATGAAACAGCAGGGACTGAGGCTAAAAGGCTTGTTCAATATGCGGTGCAGCCCTACAAAAGCCTACTTTGTAAACGTTAGCTAGGTAAAAGCGCTGCCAGTGAAGTCATAAGCAATCCATCATCATTACCTTTCGATAAACTCTTTGTCCACTTTTAGAAGTAAAAGCTGTATTTAACATATTCAGGGAGAATGGAGAAATGCCTTTAGAAACAACAGGCTTAATGCACTACTAATCTCTAAACCAAATATTTATAGCCCCGTAGTCTATAAACAATCTGAAATATTTGGGTAGTCGATATCCAAGAGGTGGAAGCACACACAGTAATAGGAAGGTTTTACCATTCCATCTGCCCTGATTGGTGTTTCACTCACTATTATATCTGATTTATAATCATTGCGAATTATTGAATTACCAGTTTAGAGAAAGAACCAAAAAAACCACGAGTTAAAATATATGGAAATGTTTCATTGTTTACAAATTTGTCTGCCTCAGAAAATAATCAATATCAAAGTTGATTCAAGCCAAGATCTGTCTGGATGTGTATTAATTTGCTCCATGAGAATAAACTAGAAATTACTAAGATAAAAGAAAAAATAATGAAATATGGAAATAACTATGGATTTTGCACATTGTCATTATATAATGGACATAATGGACATAATGACATTACATAATGGATTCTAATTAAATCCAGGTGGAAAATGACCTTCCTAGACCTCCCTTCAAAATTAAGATTTTTGACAGTCATGATTAATGGAAACATGCACTTTGCATGGTTTGTAAACCTGAAACATCATCGTACATTTCAGTTTATAATTTATCCCATTATCTGCTTCTGCATGCATGAAGGTCAGCCGTACTGGCACAAAGTAGCAGTGAAATCCAGAGGCTCTAGAAGGTTGTTTTCACAGATTTTTCACTTATTTTTCATGAGGAAATAATTTTGCCTACTTTTTCCTTAGAAAGATGGTAATCTAAAAGAGTAATATTTTTAACAGCAGTAATTGCAATATTCTTGTTATTCTCTTGTCCTTTTAGAGTAAACAAAATGGCAGTGGAAGAAAATGTTTTTTTAGGGATTCCTACCCGCAATATTTCTTCAATGCAGCTGTTATCTCCTGTTCCACTGTCCTGTAAACAAAATGAGAAAATAGTTTATTTGTGTTTTAAAAAGAAATAACAAATAGCAGGTTTGAGGACATAGTTGTCACATGAAATGCATTCCAACCTCTATTACAGTTTCAAAATGAGGCCAAGTCTTTCCAGCATCTGAAAGTTGCACTGCTTAAAATTCTTAAATTATTCCCCATCAGCACCACAGGAAGGTGTAATATTTGCAGTGTTTACATATGGTTGCAACATATTTGTATAAATTCATAGGACTTTGTTTGCACCACTTTTGGGTGCGGTTCCTGCTGTTCTGGATATACCGCATATGAGTAAGCATAAGCAAAACAGTTATTGCATGTACATAGATCCAATATGTGCATTTATTTATATTAAATAAATAACATCTCTCCGCATCCTTTGTGCAGGAAAGACTTTGCAGTGACATTGCCTATGTGAAGCCTGACGATGTATAGCGTAGAGGCGGCTGTGATGCTGAGGGGAGAGCTGCAGAGACTGCAACACAGGCTGCAACACTGAGTGCGGGCTAGGCAGCACAGCAGTCCTGAGGAGGCTACGATTTCCTAAAATGCTGACCCTAAACCCACCCGTACGTTGTGGGACTGAGGGCGCAGAGGAATTCAGCTCTCCTAAACAGTATAGCTTCCTCCAGAGCCATTCTGGAGAGGGGAAATCAGAGATTTGGCAGAGCAGCTATCCCCCTATAGGAACCATCCAGCTGGTGCCATGCTCAGCTTGGTTGTTCATTAGTACCCAAACTTCTTGCCAGCCAAGACGAGGCAGCACGAGACACCAGTCTGCCATACTTATGCCCCCCATTCCTGCCTGCCCCCTGCCCACAGTCCCCTCGCGCTGCCCAGCACAACTGGGAAGAGAGGGCACACCATGGAGGGAGGTACTGATGCTGCGGGGGTGCCCATCTCCTGCAGCTCTCCACGAGATACAGGTAGCTGCTGCATCAAGCAAGTTTTCTGGGGATTTACTTCACCACACTAAATTCCCTGACAATTCCCCAGAGAAAGGTTTTGTTCCTTTTGCAGAACAGAACTAACTCAGAAGGCAAGAGACCGGGGCTTGAGGTCTTCCCATGTGGGAAGGGGGGTGGAAACAAAACCAATACGATTAATTACTGTCCCCAAAGAGCTAGCAGGGAGGCAAGCTTGGTCTTTGCCTCTTGTTTTCAAAAACCACCTGGAGGTTCTGAGTTTTCAGGTGCCTGCCTGGAGAAATACCAACGCAATTTGATTTTCCAAAGTGCTGAGCTCTTGTCACCTGGAAATCAGACTTCTCTACCACATCTGCATTTGGGCACCCAAAAAATCATGAAGCACTTTCAAAAATGGACACCTCTGTGCCTACCAGGCCCAAATGATACCACTAGCCAGTTTGTGCAAGTCCTGGACACTGTCACCGCCGCTCCCCAGCCTGAGCTGAGTCACTGAGGAGGTCTGGATCCGCAGCTGCTCACAGCGTAACAGCTGTAACCAAGGTCGGAAGTACAGCAGTCATGCATAAGCAAGGGAGCAATTTATGTTTCATAATTTTTTGTGGCTGTTATTTCATGCCAATTCATAGAAAGTCATAAGTGCTTTATTGTCAGCACTCCTGCTAAATCTTTGCTGAATATGGCCCTTGATTGTTAAACAAATGAATCGCATTAACTCTTTTTGGTGCAATGCAGTCCGCCAGCTTTACAGTTCACCAGGAATTACACCACTGATTTCAAAGGGAAAGGAACTAAGCATGCTATAAAGTCAGCCTTTGGAGAATCACTCATATCTGATGTACAGATGCTGAAAAGAAGCTGCAGCCCTGAGCAGATAGCCCTGTTCTGATCTCGGCCCTGTCCCCGAGGAGCCGCACAACACCGCGTGCGACCTTCCTGCTGCTGAAGCAGCGGTGCAAGTGCGAGAGTTCATGTTGCCAATGAAGCTAACAAGACAGACAGAAACACCACAACAATCTCTGGATACTTAAGAATTTTAAAATTCATCTTAGCTAATTTTTATTTCTCTCTTCTCTGTGGGTTTCCCTCCATTTTCTCCCTTTCCTTCCCCAAACCCCAGCCTATGACTTGTTATCCCATTAACAACAGTGGAGACTGTAAAGCCCTCATCATGAACGCCTTGTTTACAGAGCAATGAATTTACTGCCCGACCTCAAGCTAGCTATTCTAGTCCGTTGCCATCTTACAGAAGGAGGGATGAGATGACCTACCATCTTATGCTGTATACAATACGTTGAACATAAGGTAAAACGATGCTCTATTTTTGTGTGAAGACAAAACTACTGAAGGTAAATTTGGCAATAGGCTATTTCAGACTAGGTTTAGAAACAAGCTTCTATTACAAAATTAAATATCCCTCCTAGAGGTGTAATGAAGTAAGTCAGCAAATACTCATCAACAAGAAATTACACTTCCCATTACCACAGAAGTTAAACTTCAGCTATTCTCCCTAGCACATCATATCTCTGGGCAGGGAGTAAAAAAACTTTTCACATCTCTCTCTCAACATCATCACACTGCCTTTCAAAAAGGCAAAAAAAAAGCTGGAAACACAAAACCAAAGACAAGATATGCAAAACTGAAAAAAATATTTATAGAGAAAAATCTCAATTTCTATATTTTCCTCTTTGTTCTTCATCTTTTGAGTGCCAAATATAAATGTCTTAATTTATTTTTGCTTTGAATACTTGTAAGGATCTTACAGTACTGTTGATATCAAACTTTTCTAGAATAAGGGTGGGGAAGTTAAGAGACCATGTTCTGCACACAGCAAGCAACTTCAATTTCATATGGCCTGGGGCCGTATTATTTTTTTCGTCATGATATCATATAACACAATGCAGAGTGTTATTGTGGGACCTAAGGTATGTCTGAAAAGCATCTGTAGATGTTGGTACGGAAAAGACTCCCCATTCTCACTTTAAAAGCTCTTCTTGGCTATATCTCTACTCACATTATAGAGGAATCCGCACTGCCTGGGAACCTGGCAACCTGAATTTAACTTCATGGCCATATTTTAATTATATCATATAACACAATGCAGAGTGTTATTGTGGGACCTAAGGTATGTCTGAAAAGCATCTGTAGATGTTGGTACGGAAAAGACTCCCCATTCTCACTTTAAAAGCTCTTCTTGGCTATATCTCTACTCACATTATAGAGGAATCCGCACTGCCTGGGAACCTGGCAACCTGAATTTAACTTCATGGCCATATTTTAATTAAAAAAAAAAAAGCTGGTAAATGTTTCTTGAAATCTGAATTAAAAGAAGAGATTGCATTACCTGCAGTCAACAAACAGCACAGAGTGCAAACACCATTGCATTGGTGCTGGCTGCGTGACGCAGCACCTGCGTAAGGCTGATGTCGGCAGTACCGGCAACCTGCGCAAAGCAGTCCCTCCACTCTCTCGATAGCCTGCATGCCACAGTACACTTGTGCAATAAATGTTTTAATTACTTTAAAAAAAAAAATTAAAACAAAATAGAGGTTTTGAGGCTGCTGTTCCCAACTAAGCCGAGGAGCTGCTACCCTGTATTTATTCTGACATTGATGAACCCAGCTCATTTGCCTCCCTTTGCATTTTGCGATCTGTCATAAGAAACTCGCCTCATTGAACCTCCAATGAACCATCAGCGAAATACTGGCAAGTCTCAGGGAGCTGTCAGGGGAAGTGGGCTCCAGCCTTTTCCCTTTCCGATGCTGTGCCCATTACCTTCGTTCCTCAGTCAGCGCAGCCTGAAGAACGCCAAACATCTGCACATACGTGCGGCTGCCATACAGTCTGGCAGGAGGATGCGAGGAGCTGCCGCCGAGGATAACGGCAGTGGCTGCTGAAGAAATAGCCGGGAGCATTGCACCGCTGATAAAACGAGCAGCTAATTACCATGCAAAGCACAGAGAACTGCAAGAAACAAGGCTGACTAAAGGCTACATCGAATTCTTGAGAAACGGGATGTCATTTCAAAAAAAGCTACATCTGTACAAATTTTATTTCAGAGCATTACTTTATTTTTTCTTCCCTTAACAACAGCTTTCACATGGAGATATATAAAGAAACCCCTCTGAAAGGAATTGCCTATCTGTGATACTTCTCTCCCCTTTCAAATCTTTGTGTGAAGGAAAGAAAGAAAAATCTTCTGCAAGTATCTATTTCCATTTTAGCCTAAGAGACTTTTATGGTGCGAGCTTTTGGTGCTGTTATTATTTGGACTGTGCTAAGTGTTCTTAAAAAGTCTCCAGAAGTTATTGGATTTTGCCTCCGTTATAAATTAGGTGTGATTAAGATCTGCGGAAGGCCGAGGTACGCACTCAGCAGACTTGCTGGCCTCTTCCACTCAGCGGGAGCCAGGCTGGCTGTGTCGGCCTTTGAACGCTGGTCATCTGCAACCGGTGGCATGGCAGCGGCCGCCACGCGACCAACCCTTTGGGTGCCACCTCTGCCTCCAGGGCAGCTCTCACCCCCGCCCTGCACAGGCACTGCATGGCATTGCTTAAGACAGGGCTGCAGGCCTGAAGTGAAGCTTCAGGCATTGAATGTTGGCAGGCAATAACCTAAATCCATGATAAAAAAAATAGTAAAAAGGGGGAAAAAAGCCCACGTTGATGTACCTTGATCTGAAAGCATAATAGAAATGCTTCTTTGCCAGGCAAGACCATGAAAGTACGGAGATACACACACATGCATGCACATGGGTATATGTAACATTCTCTGTATAATCCGTTTGCTAGAAAGGAACTTCAGAACTGTAAAATAAACAAGTATGGAGAAGATAAGTACTGGGGATCCAGGAGATGTCAGTAAAAGGAAACAGCTGTGTGCTTAAAAACAGAAAGGTATTCATTTCCCTTAAGAAAGGAGAGCTCACAGTCACCGTTACAGAACCTAAGTTTCTCTGGCCTCTCTGCAGTCATTTCCCCGGTAGGGCTGCATTCACTCATGCGTGCATCATTCATTGCATCACACAGATGTGCTTTTCCCAATCCTTATTTCTGTT